TCCATCACAGTCCCTAACAAGAGGGTATCCCAGTTGGGAGTCAAACGCAAATGACTCATTCAGCTGTCCACCTAACTATCAAGTTCTGTTGATAAGAGAACCAGTCCAATGACAGGAGACAGAGACCTTAGTCAAACTCATTCTGTCACACCACATCTTCAGAAGCAGACCCCTCTGAGGTTACCCAGTGACACAGCACTTAGATTATCTCCACGTCACTTTTTGTTTTGTTTTTCCAGAAAGAAAAGAAAGGAAGAAAAAGAGAAAAGAAAGAAAAAAGATGTTAAAATATCTGGGGCGAAAATGATCAGTATGTTTTCTGGAGTTGGAAATTGCTGTTTTAATTCTCCCTTTGGGTAGTGTTTAAGTAAAGGGATTTGAATGATCAGTAAACTAATTTTCAAGTTACTTAAGCATGCTAAAATATGCTGACACACAGGGGAGTGAGGAACTAAGACACAAGAAGACACCAGTCCCTTTTCTCCTGTTGCAATTAAGACAGCACACACATTATCAAACAGTGAGTGACTAACTGGGTATTAGCTTCCGGAATGCAAAAAAAAAAAATTACATCCACATAGATGTACCTGGTATCCAAGGATAAGAATTTCAACACTAGAGAGGTGCAAAGATATAATGAGAGGAAACCACTATTATACATGAAAAAAAACCTCAACCTGAACAAGAATCCATGCCTGATGATATACTGGATTTTGTTTATTTTTTTATTTCATTCTTTGTAACCAGCCTATAGTCTCAGTCAATAAATATCTGAACACATGTGAATTGAGTCCAGTATACTTTAATCAATATACTTGTGCAATTTTCTCTAATTCTGTAAAGATAAAATGATTGAGAAAAGGCCTAACAAGTGATATTTCAGCAATAGATGTTTGGAGCCATACAAGATTTTAGAGATTGTCTCTCCAACCCTCTCATGTTAACAGTGAGAAAATAATGTCAACTTTGAGGAGTTATAATAGATCAAATTTGGTTAGATTAAAAGTGAATTTTCTCTCATATGTTTCCCTATTAAACTATTAATTCCATGAAGGCAGAGACTGGATATGTATAGTAGGTGTATATGCAGTGTGTATGTATGTATAAATGCATGTGTGTATGTATACAGTACATAGTAGATCTATCGTAAGTACACAGTAAATGTTGAATGAATCGATGAAACTAACCTTGACTTTCTAAGATCTCAAAGAGCTAGCACCAGGGCCCAGCATCCTGAATTCTAGCATTCTCTAAATATTCTTATTCTCAGAACTTTTGTATTGGAACATAGGAAAATGGTTAAGTACCAACATAAGCCCTTCCAAGACTATACAAATTTAGGCTTTATATTCTAGCCAACTAATTAAGTTGTAATATTTATTTCTTCAGGGGTGCCTGGGTGGCTCAGTCATTTGAGCGTCCGGCTTCAGCTGAGGTCATGATCTCATGGTTTGTGAGTTTGAGCCCCGTGTTGGGCTCTGTGCTGACAGCTCAGAGCCTGGAGCCTGTTTCAGATTCTGTGTCTCCCTCTCTCTCTCTGCTCCTCCCCCACTCATGCTCATGCTATCTCTATCTCTCTCTCAAAAATAAACATTAAAAAAATTAAAAAAATTTACTTCTTCAAATAATAATTGAATTTCAAAGTAAAATCTTAAGAAAATTATTATAAAGTTTTCTCAATAAAACAGTTACATTTTAAAGTCCATAGTGTAAACCATTATTTTCTCTTTTTTAATGAAGATGTTATTTCTTGTAAAGAAATTTTAGTATGAGAAATAACCACACAATCATGACTCATTATTACCTAAAATCTAGTATCTATAGGTAAAGCCATTTCTTCAGAACAAAATTTGTGTTCATTGTTAGCTTGCAGAAAGAGAATCAAATCTGTTCTATGATTATAGCTTTATAAAGGTAATCTGCTGTATGGGGGTTTTAAGGACAATAAAGTAACATAATTTCTTTTGGTTCTTTTATCTAAATGTGTAAGAACCTTACTATTGACATAATCTAAAACAGGATTTCTCAGTCCTATTGGCTTACTGGGAGCCAGAACCTTAACAAGTACCTCTAAATGGTCATTTTATACCATATAAATGGTCATTTAAATGGCCATTTTATACCATATAAATGGTCATTTATACCATTCACTGAAGTGAATTTTCACTTTTATGTACAGAAATGCTAACCATCAGGGCACCTAGGTGGCTCAGTCAGTTAAGCATCTGACTTCATCTCAGGTCATGATCTCATGATTTGTGAGTTTGAGTCCCACGTGTGCAGAGCCTGCCTGGGATTCTCTCTCTCCCTCTCTTTGCCTCTCCCCCACACATGTGTGCATGTTCTCTATCTCTCTCAAAATAAATAAACCTAAAAAAGAAAGAAATCCTAGTCATCTGTGTGCACAGATATTAACACCACCAGTCAATTCTCATTGACTGTCAGTAAAAAAATGAGTTAAGTTCAGTAATTGCAATGTTATATAGAATAAAAAATTTTATTTTATTTTTTTTTCAACGTTTATTTATTTTTTTGGGGACAGAGAGAGACAGAGCATGAACGGGGGAGGGGCAGAGAGAGAGGGAGACACAGAATCGGAAACAGGCTCCAGGCTCTGAGCCATCAGCCCAGAGCCTGACACGGGGCTCGAGCTCACGGACCGCGAGATCGTGACCTGGCTGAAGTCGGACGCTTAACGGACTGCGCCACCCAGGCGCCCCTAGAATAAAAAATTTTAAATATGGCTCTGTTCCTTCTATATTAAATAGAAACCTCAAGTAAAATGAATGACATAAATGTTTAATTCTTTTAGTTTAAAGATAATAATACTACTTACATAACTAAAATATTCCTTTTTAAATAAATTTTGTTTCTTAAAATGGCAATAGCCAGGGGTAAATATTAATATATTTGAGAACTTTTCTTTTGTTTCAAACATAAGAACATCAAAATATAATATTGTTTTTGTCTTTTTCCTCATCATCATCGGGAATAAAAACAAAACAAAAGTGTTTTTGCCATCTAGTTTCTTTCTCCTTGGTAACAATCCAAGAATAATCCAAATTCATAATTTATATTTCCATAAAAGCTAGGAAATAAGATAACAAAGAGAAGGAGAGGCTTTCCAGTGCCTGGGCCTGCTGTATTCATTCTAAAAAGCTAATGAACAAGTTAAATTTTCTAGCAGTGCAATGTTCCAGATATAACCTCAAGAGGATAGAAACAGGAGTGCTTATATTTGGTCGTTGCAAGCATTGCATATTATAGAAAAGGACAGGTTGGGATATTTGTATATACATATAGAAATCAGTTGAAAATCCAATTTTGTGAAACAGGAATTCCCCTTTGAGGGAGGTAAAAAAAAAAAAATCCATATTTAAATGTAGTCAGCATCCAAGGTCATTCAATAATGCCTTCTTCACATTTCAGAAGAAAACATTCATCTTTTACTAGAGTAGACTGTATGGAATAAGAGCACACATACATACACATAAATAGCTTGTATCAATTCTATGTTCTGTCTTGGAGGAAAGATGTGAGGCAGGTGAGAACTCTGATAAAAATAAGTAATTAAAACAATAGAATCAAAATGTGTTTTCCAAATTTCACTCATTAACAACCTACAATAATTGTAAAAATCTACTTGACTATGGTTTGGCATTCTCTTAATTTGAATGGTGCATCTGTAAAACATTTAATGTTGTTGCCAATAAAAATATAGTTTTTAGGGAATACTTATCTCTGGTTATTTTCCTTTAGCTTTTTTTTTTTCTAAGTTCACTTATTTTACTCCTTTTAATTTTAAACTTGTTTTACTAGTTCTTATCCAATATAGGGACTAAAAATAAAAGAGGCTAACAATTTTAGAGACATTTCACCTGTTCCAAAAGACAAATTTATTTGACAGGCAAATCTGTTCAAAGTCACAAAACAGGGCTTCATCAGAGATTTCTGCAAAATTTGGCAAGGAATTGTACATTGAGGGAAGTAATAGCTACCGACACAAAGTTAGATCCTATGTATATGTTATATTACTACTTCCTCATGATAAATCAATAAGGAAAGCATTAACATTCAAATTACATGAGTATAGAAACTGAGGTTTGTTGAGGTTAGAGACTTTTCTAAGATCACATACAGGTATTAAAAGAGAAAGCTAGGATAAAAACTAGAGTATGACTTTCTCTAAGACTCCTATAATTTCCCTGCTGTCTTCCAGAGCTTAGACACCAGTTAGGCTGCCCTCCCGGCCCCGCCTCCACTCAGTGAGGTTCAGGGATAGTGAAATTATTTCCCTGAGAGCACACAACCAAGCGATGAAAGAGCCAAGCCAAACCAACCCTTGTTTGCTTCACTGTACTATATGGCTTTAGCTGATTTTCAAACCCAAGGCACACTTGAAATAAGGAGATGTTTCTAGCAAACTGATTTCTGGCATTAGGTTCCTTATCTTCAGCTATACCTAGCTTACTTTAAGTCCATTTGAAAGTTATATCAACTTTCCAGGCCAGGAAAACACTAATCGATGGATAACACTGTTTCATAAATATAACCTTATTGGACCTCAAGAAGGGCCTTCAATGTATATATTTACAAGTAAAAAATAGAGATTATGATAAAATATTCCATTCTAACTAATCTGTCAGGAAGCAAAGTCTCTATTCCACCTCTCTCAACGTGAAGATGTTCATTTCTTCATTCAAGTGCTCTAACACATTATGTCCTATGTAGCCACTATAGGTAAATGGACATCTTTGTTTCCTGATGGAATAGACTTTAATCACTGTCACATTCATAAAACTGTGTGCTGTTAGTAAACAAATGTTCCCTTTAATTCAAGTGTGGTTGAAGAAGATGTGGAATCAATGCCACTCACTCCCTGTGCTGTTCTGGAACATTTCTTCACACGGAAACCACCCTGCCTCCCAAGAAGGTGAATGAATGGGTAAGTGAAAATTACACATGTAAGTGCTGAAATAGTGAAACTTTCCATGACTTACCCTTGAATTAACTACTTCCAGGGAGACGTTCTGAGGCGGGGCACTTGGCACTAAAGGGAATAAAACAAGGTGAGGTGGTTACTGCCAAAGTCATAAAAGAGAAACAACAACCCTCTGTGAAAAAAGAAAGCATGACTTTCACAGTTCATGATGATAATTAGGTAGGCTGATCCAGGTGGCACTTCAAAATTTTCCTGGAGAGATGGAAAATAACTGCATCTGTTTATTTGTTCTTACTTGGTAGGCCAGTTATCCATATAGGGAGCCCCCAAAACTGTTTGGTAAGAAAGCACCTGCCGTGATACCAAACACTGCCATTTAATTACAGCTTTCTTATTATTACCTTCCCAGAGAAGCCAATAAAAACACACCAGAGATTTCCTGGAGTGGTTTTAAAGGCTTAAGACGTTGTGCATTTCAGGATCTGCATGGTTTTATTATAAAATATGTCATTCTAATGGTCAGTCATGTTGCTTAATCCCCTTAATGCAATCTTTATTATCTCTTAAAAAGAGAAAAGATGAAATACATCCCTCTTTTTATCTGTATGTAATTAAACCTATGTGTCACAGATGCAAGCAAGTTATCAAATAACATTCAGTGAGTCAATTCCAGGAACAAAAAAGGCAGTTTATTTTTCTTTGTAGATTTTCTGTTTTTGTTTTTGTTTTTCTCTTGCTTGCATTTTGATTGCCCAATTCCTTCATGGGAAAAGGAAGAATATATACAAATTTCTTTATAATACTTGTAATAAATATTTACTATATCAAAAAGTGAATATTCTATTTTGTGAATAATTCAAAGACAACCATTCGCTGAACAGCTATTATGTGTAAGACACTATCCTAGATGTCTTGGATAAATCATAAACAATGTTTTTCGCCCCCCAAAAGAAACAGAAGTAGCATTCAATAAATGCTTAACGTATGTTAATCTGTAAAATATAGTCCCTATTTGTTCATGACAAATTGATTAACAGAGAAGAATTGCTCTTAGCATTTTCAAGAATTTAAAGGCCATTTTCTGTCACATTGCCCCTTCTTTAACTTGAACTTGGACAATATCTATATTTCTATAGGGAACTTGTATTTTCCCCTTGAATTCATTATGCCCTACTCTGAGTTTACTTTCTGAAAGTATTCACCATGAGGGTATATGTCTCATTAATCTTTACAGCCTTCAAACTGACATTCAACTAATATTTACTGACTCAATGATTACATGAAAAAACAAATACTTACTTAAATATTAGCTCTTGGACCTTCCTGGACACCATAAGAATTTTAATCACTTTGTTTTGATTTTGAACTTCTTATCTTAGTACTTGATAAAAGCTGTGGCCAATGTAGTTTGTGATAAATAACACTCACTGGTCTTATTTTCATGAATTAGGTCAATAATCCTTTCGAAAAGTATTTTATAATTTAATAAATAGATTTTATTATTCAACTTACTTTAGCTCATATTATATTTCTTTTCAAATAAAGAATATAATTCCCCACAGGGACCAGGATTTTTGCCTCTTTGGATGCTGAATCCTCAGTATCAATAAGAGTGTCACATTCAGCAAATATGTGTTGAATTAATTAATTAACAGAGAGATTATAAGAAATAATAAAACTTTTTATCATACTTAGAGTTTTAGTCATAACAAGCTTTCTTTTTGCAGTTTTATTTTTTTTAATTAAGGTATAACATACATATAGTATAATGCACAAATCTTGTATGCATGATTGGATACAGTTGTATGTGTGTGGGTGTGTTCGCATTTAAACACCACCTAGATGAAGATTTAGAATATATAGTATCCTGGAAAGTTCATTTGAGTCCCCTCACAACCAATACCCTTCTAAGAGTAACCACTATTCTGACTTCCAACACCATCGATTAGTTTAGCTTGCTTTTAAGCTTACTAAAAATGAAATCGGTTATTATTTCTAGGCTGGTTTCTCTTACTCGTTATTATTTCTTGAGATTCATTCATCTGTTGCATCTAGCAGTAGTTTTGGTGCTTCTGTTTGTCTTTTATAGCTCCTACGTATTATATTATATGACTATTCTATTTTATATTTACTCATTCTGTTGATGAATGGCCTTCGACTACTTTAGATTTAAAACTGTGAGACTAAATCTCCTATGAAAATTTTTGTACATGTCTTTTGACAAACAACTACACTCATTTTCTTCTTTATATACCTTTATATACCTAACAGTGGAAATCCTGGTAGAAGTAAAACCTCTATGGGGGTTTTACATATGTAAACAAGGAAAAATATACATATGATAAAATTTTCCAAAGTGGTCCCACCAATTTACACTCCCACTAAGAATGTAGCTAATGTCCAGAATCTCCGTATCCTTACCAACGTTTATTTTTTCTGAATCTCTTCCATTTTAGTCATTTCGTAGGTATGTAGTGTTTTTATTTGCTTTTTCTTGAGGATCAGTAATGTGAAGCATCTTTTCACATGTTTGCTGACATTTGGATGCCCTTTATCGTGGAGTTTTAAGAGTCTTTTTTTTTTTTACAGCTAAATTTCCTTTAAAACTCATCTCCAAAATTTTCATTCCTTTATCTTATATTCTATGTTCATGTTACTATGATTAAAATATTAAGATTTTTTTTTCTCTATAGCTAAAATAGTCAGAAGGGCTCTTCTGCACTTGGCAAACTTCCTATCTTCTCGACTCTTCTCAAATGTTATAATAATGAAATGGACTTCCCTAAACTACCTTCACAGACCTGTGGACATTCCCAGTCTTCAGGAAAGGGAAGAATGCAGAGGCTTTAATAAGACCATCTCTACATTCTGTTTTTGTAAAAGACGAAGTATTAGAGTAGGCTGGAAATAATAACAATGTGTGTGATCAGAAAAACTAAACAGACTGACATCCTCACAATGAGGAAGAATTTAATATGATCCATATTTAAATTATGCTGTAAAGCATTGAAAATTAAAATAGGCACCAACTGAAAAATGCTAAGTGCTCCATCATATAATTTCACAAACTTCTAGCACATGGGCTGTTCTTGACTTATGTAATCAGGAAAAAAGTAGAGAGTTTATTCTACAGCATTTTTAGTTGTCAAACCCCACTCCCTCCCTCTATCAATTCCCACATTCCTGAGACATAAATAGATAAAGTAGATAGGATTAGATGCTTGGTGGAAGGAAGTAGGATCTACATTTATTTGAGCTTTTCTTTATTTGACTTCCCAAGATGTTTCATTGTCTCATGAAGCAAAGAGGAAAGCCATGGTTCATTGTTTTCTCTTCAAAATGTCAAGCAATTTATCATTTATAATAGGTTGGTTAAGGCTGATCAGAGATATTCAGTCTAGAAACTCCCTCAATATGGTGAAACATGCTGATTTGATACATATGATGATGATATATTCTGTATAGTAGATAAAGTTCCCACATTTGTAAATCAATCTCCATAGAGTCAGGTACTTGAGTTCCTCCCCTTACCAAATGTGTGCTGTCCTGTACACATAATTTATGGATTGAAATAATTCATATATAATTATGAGCTTTGTACTTTCAGCAACTGATATAAGAACTTCATTATAGAATAAGGGAAACTCAAGATTTTTCACATTAAATCTTGCTTCTTTTCCTATTAGCTTGTGATCTGACTCTGCTGCTTACCAGGCTAGCTTTTGTGACCTCTTTCTAATATTAGTTTTGTCATCTGTAAAGTAGAAAAAATCATAGCATCATAAGGATTAAAGATTATTAATGCAAAGTGATTAGAACAGGGCCTTGTACTAATAAGTACTCAATAAATACCAGTGATAACAGTAAAAAGCACATTCTTATAGTTAAGCTTGTCTATGAAATTGGGTCCCTCTGCTTATGGGCACAGAACAAGCTGACATGGAAGCTCATAAATATTAATTGATTCATAAAATCTTTTAATGACCTACACTCATCAACTGGTTCAAGAGAAAATATTTGGGAACAAATTGGTAAAACTAGTTACATTCCGTGCTATTAGACTGCCTAAATCTGATGTCCATCTCAAAGGGATTAAAGAAGCAGATCGTTATATACAAATGATACAGTAAGTGGAGGGATTTGAATGAAAAACAATTTTTCTTCCCAGAAACACAATTAAAGCAGGCTAAATTAGAGATGAGAGCTTATCAGGACAGAAATCTTTATAAGCATTTTAGCATAACAGGAAGACCATTGGGATAATTAATTCAGAAAAAAACCCCATTATTTGTATTTCATTTTTGCTTTTATTTAATTTTTCTCTGGTCCCAATATCAAGTTTATGCTATCCTCTGACCTGATAAGAAACATGGTACCCTCAATAACATGCATGTATTTAGGCACAGTCATCTATTAAATTAGTCACATAAATGGAAAGTTCTAAAGATAAGTCTACACATAAAAACAATTATATTGTTTGGCTTAGCTATCTGATTAATTCAGTAAATATTTACTGAGATGATGAATGCAGAGATGGACATAACAGCATTCTTCACATTAAAGAACGTGTAGTATACAGAGAAAAAGTGACACGTACATTGTCATAGATAATATTTATTGAACACTTAAATATATGCCATGTTCATATTTTTGGTGCTTACATGGATTAGCTCATCTAATTTCCACAACATCTCCCTTTTATAACATCCAGAAAGTCAAGGAGAAGACAACTTTACAACTCAGGACTAGAAAGTAGCAGACTATGAAAAGTGATTAAACATATATCTTTGTAGGATGTGTGACTACAGCATGGGCAGCTTCAACAGAGAGAAGACATCAGCATGAGCGAAAAGAAGGGGACTGGACAATAAGAGAGAGAAAGTCAAGAGTGCAGGGGTTTTTGTTGGAAATCCAAAGAGATGAATTGATTGTGAAGGAGATTGCAGACAAGTTTCAGGAGCCCACTCTAAGGGGCCATTCAGTTCCTGCTTTCTCCTATCAAATGCATCGATAAAGAGAAGTTGGCATCCTTTGTACAATGATGCTTGCTGGGTTAGGGTCATGAAATCCTTTTATTTAGTGACAGGCATTTTCTAGGTCCTAACTGTTACAACACTTAGAGATAATCATTCTTGGACTAATGAGTAATAATCTATCTCTCTCACTTATGACATTTAAAACCAAAGTGGAGAATAAGGCCACAGTATTACAGTTCAGAGTGTGAATGAAATCTACATAAATTATGTAAAATATTCATTTTCATTTGTTTTCCTTTTATTTTTATAATTATAAGTTGTGAAGTAATTTATTCTGCCAATAAATACTCTATTCCATCTTCAATAACAGAATCAGATGGATGGGCATTAAAAACGATGCTGAAGTGGTGTTACATAAAAATTTTTTTAAGTTGAAATTGCAAATGAGCATCACTCCTGTGTCTTCACTGCACTGTCCTTAATAACATGCATGACCTTCCTCATTCCACTGATATTGTGTGAAATATCCGCCCAGATACTTTTCTAGATTAAAGAATGATGGATTGGTTAAGGAATCACAAGGTAAAGTCTTTTTTTCCCTTGAAATTCAGCAGATCAATAATTTATAGAATTATATACAACAACATGGAAACCATTGCTGAAAAGAGATAGCTTGTTGCCTTTTTAATATTCATAGAGGCCATCTCTGCATCTCTACACCTGCTTGAATTTCCACTAGCCCCACATCATATACTCTGTTGTCCTTTATTTTCACTTGTCATTAAATTTCCCAACATTTCATTATCCTTTTCTTAGATGTCCAGTTTCCTCTGCTACTGCTTTGCCAAATCCATCTTTTTCATTAAGAGTTCTTCCTCTCTTTTATGACATTTAAGAAAATATGTCTAATATTTCATTTGTTGGGCAAGGTACAGCTAAAATTATGTACTTTCATATTTAGTTTTAATACCTGAAATAATGGATTATTTGGCCTATATCTTATGACATATTTTCAAATTAAGAGGTATACATAGGAGGGCTGTCCATCATTTACACCTTTAGTCATCCACTCCTCTTTAGAATGAGAAATAAAAAGAAGCACACCAATGTAAATTAGTCCACACACATGCACAAATGTGTCAGTGTTTACAGACATTAAGAAACCACCCCCCAAAAATAATTTGAACTCTTAGGAGTAGTCCCACGTTTGAAGATAACCTACTAATATGATAGGAAAAGACAGGATAAAATTGGCAGAGAGGGAAAGGATAGGACCTGAGGTCCCTGGGTGGAGAAAAACACATATTTTGGAACAATGCTGGGAGGAGTGTCTGACCACAGCACACCCCCTCAGGCATAAGGTTCCTCTTAAGAATGTAACAGATCCCACCCATTCTGGATTTCAGGTTTTCCCTTCAGGTTTCCCTCAGGAATTTGACAAAAGACCTAAGTATGGCCATAGGCTACCCCTCATACAATGGAAACCAGACAATCAGGAATTGACAACCTAGCACCTAGAGCTATCAAGCCAATAAGGGTAGAGCCTGAGAAGGAACAAGGGGAAAGGCTGGGGGAGGGTTGACCAGAACCTTATAAAAGCAGGACCCTTGCCTACAGTTCTTGGGCATTCACTTTCAAATGCCCCCTCTCTGTAAAGAGAGCTTTCCTACTATTCCTCCTTTCTAATCTTATACTCTAATAAACTTTTGCCTGTTGCTCATTTTGTGTCCACCTCTTCATTCTTCGAAGCAGCAAGACAACGAATCCTGGGTATTGTGGTAAAGAATCCTGCAACACTAGGACATCCTGACACAGAGCATATAATGTACCTTTTGAAAGAAAGTTTAAATTTAACTATAATAGATAGTTTGAGTGAAGTAGCCAAATTTTTAATTAATGCTAATATATGCCATTAAATTTTAGTTCAAAGGCCTTAAACATGCAATCCATGGCATACACGCAGTATTATTTCATTACTATCAAATATGTGAGTCAAGTTTCACCATTTAACACTTACCATCAGAAAGTGTAACCACTGTTATGTCATCAGTAGATACTCCTGGCCCATAGCGATTATAAGCTAGGAATCGAAGAGTATATTCCGTGAATTTTTTCAGGCCTTCCAGCTTATAAGATAGTCCATCAACCTCTATATTCTGGAGACATAAAATGTCAAACTGTTATTCAGGAGGCACATTAAAGCAGAAATGGCATCCATTCTGCACAATCAGTGAATTGGATATTAGACTCTTACTCATAGAACCACGCTCTAGCCTTATAATGAGTTGTTGTAAAACCTAACTTGTGACACACACTCCCCCACTAAATTCCAAACCACTCTGTAGACTCCTAGTTAAAATAGCACCATGCTATTTTTACAGTCATTAAGTTCCAATGTGTTTAACACCACCCAATACATTGAATGGTATGCAATATTCCACCCACACTGATACTGACGGGCAGAAGGCAACCTGTGAATCCATGGGAACAGATCGTTACTCCTCCCCCTAAATGGAATAATTCACTAAGAAACAGTGGATTTCTTCTTTCCCTTGCTGAAATATACCCATGGCTCTAGAAACTGACAGATACTTTGCCATAATCTTTATCTCTCACAAAGCTGTGAGGTGGGTTGGAACTGTTCAGTACGTCACAGCAGCAGAAATGAGGTACTGGAGGTGAAGGTCATTGAGAAATCAGAGCCAGTTTGCTGTAGAAGACCCATTATTAGCTCTCCACAATGATGCTCACACTCACATTTGTCTCAGGTAGCATCACTTCTGAATTTTTTTAAGTGGATTGGTGAAATGCATCATGGGAAAGACAAAAATGTATAGAAAATGGAGAGAATGGAAAGCTGAAAACAAGGGCTAAATAGCATGGGGACAGAAAACAAACAAACAAAAAAACCAGGATGAATGATTGTATAGAAGGAGCTCTTAGTAATTCCTATTGCTCAATATAACTTAGGACTTGAACTATTTCTGAATAGGGCTGTTGCAAAACGTCTTTAAAAAGCAAAATCCCTATCATGCAGTTTATGTGCAAGCAGGAAGACCACAGTACGCTTGGCAAGCTTCACAACATATCCTGAGAACTCTGGTATCCCAAGATAGGCTCTTGATTTTTCTTATTTACCTATGCACTTGTCTATATATCTTTTCCCACATGAGGTTGAGAAACCAGAAGTAAACATCTCAACAGTCATATATATGTCACAAAATAGAATTGCTGACTTTCATGTGTCTCCCCCTAAATCTAATTTGCCTGTTTTCAAGTATCTGCGCAAACCATAGATTACAAGCAACTTGAAAGGAGGCAAGTAGCCTTCTGGAGTGAGGCTTATTGAAAACAATGAAAAGTGATAGGTGACTACAACCTAATGGTGAGGAAAGGACAGAAATAACTCAAATATATAGAATGAAAGCAGCAAGCTGACTGAGGCCTTTGAATAAGAGATCAGTCATCCTTAAGACAAGGACTGACAATGCAAATGGTTTCTAGGACCAGATAAGTTCACATAAATGTGGCTATGCTGGCCCGGGCCACTACCTATTACAACTAAAAAACAAAAAAACAAAAACAAAAACAAAAACAAACAAACAAACAAAAAACATTCTTTGTAGTGATTTCATTTCATTGTCCATTTGCCTCTCTTACAACCAGAATTCAATTAAATTTCAATTAAATTGCTTAACGTTTCTAATAATCAGTATTTAAAAAATATCAGCTGTCCAATTAACATGGTGGACTGGACCAAGAGTTTGCAGATCTCCTCCTATGCCTCTGGTCCTAGGACCATCCAATAGGTGGCAGCACTGGGCCCATTCCCTTGCCTACCTGTTCTTTTCCCGTGGACACCTCAGTGCAGAACAATCTGTAACCTTGGACTGGACCATTTGCATAGGCAGGGGGTTCCCAGGTAATAAGAATTGAGGTAGGTGAGGTAGATACAGCTTGCAGGTTTTCTACTGGCCCTGGAACTTGCACTGTGTACAAAAGAAATTGATTAGTATGAGAGGGTTCTCTTCCTCGAAACAAACAAAATTCCATCTTTTACAGTTTAGGGATATTATAGTCCTATGAACTACTTTAAGAACCAAAAGGGATGAAAAAATAAAATATAAAGTAATGAATTAAAAAAAATTTTTTTTTCAACGTTTATTTATTTTTGGGACAGAGAGAGACAGAGCATGAACGGGCGAGGGGCAGAGAGAGAGGGAGACACAGCATCGGAAACAGGCTCCAGGCTCTGAGCCATCAGCCCAGAGCCCATCGCGGGGCTCGAACTCACGGACCGCAAGATCGTGACCTGGCTGAAGTCGGACGCTTAACCGACTGCGCCACCCAGGCGCCCCATAAAGTAATGAATTTTAGAATCATTTCACTTTGAAATTCAGGAGAGGGTTTATATTAATCTAAATTACGTATTTCATTTTACAGTTGAGGAAATTGGTCAAGGAGTCTAAATTACTAGGAAAATGATGGAAAAGGAGTGGGATTGTTAATCTAAGTTCTTAGTATGGAAAATTTTCCACTATGCCAGCATGGCTTTGCTTGTGTATGAATAATAACTACAGAAGGAAAAGAGAAAATACAATTAGAATACTTGTATATCATGATTCTACTTATAATTCAAATGAACAGCACAGCTATGGATAATTTGCCACATCTGTATTTAAGTCAGCATTTTAAAATCTTGCCCAATTCTATGTCCTTTAAATTAATATTGAGATTTAATTTTCAGTTTTACTTTCTAGTATTCTATTTCCTCTCATAACTGCTACTTTACTTAATCAAGAATAAGTATCTTGTTCATTAAATAAATTATACAGCACAGGTCCACAATTGCTTAACCAAAACACTTGTGTCCAGATTTGTTTTGAGATCTGGAAATTTTCAGATTTTAGAAAGACAATATGATGTATGTACAATGTTACATTTAACATCCCAAGTGGGGTCTCTGTTTGCACCCTGTTATCGAATCATACATTTGCTGCAAAATATATGATATTCACATCAGACAAAATTATTAAGACTATGCTTAGCGTAGCATAAGGGCAGATCAGTTTTGGGTATGTCAGGAGTCAAGAAATTCCTTCAAATTCCAGATTTGCAAATTTTGAATTTGTGCATACTTTTTTATTTATAGACCTGAATACATAAATATGTGGTTTGTAAATTGTAAATGCCATACATTGTAATCTAAATTAAATAGTTTCATCATCACAAATATGATGACAATTTTAACAAACATGCTGTATATTTTCCCCAGCCTTAGATCCCACCTACCTTTGAACAGATGCACCTTGTAGGCCTCTAAATAGAATTTTGTGAGCTTAACATCCACAGTAAAAGTCTGAAACTGTGGCCGACAGATATCTGATAACACAACTCCTTAGATCAGTGCTGCACCTGTGTCCCTGGATCAGTCATTTTTCAGAATTGATTCCATGGAGCCCAGGCTCCTTAAGGCATCATGGCTCATGCATTGTAGAAAAATGCGTGGAAAAATATGTATATATTTATATATCAGAAACATGTGTTTTATGTCACATTCACATATTTCCCACCAGTCCCCAAAGCTTGAGCATCCTTGTTATTGACATTTGCCTTCTTTCATCTTAACAAATGATTGCTGACAACTTCTCACAAACTTACTTGAAAATCATTTTAAACTTACAGAAAAATTTAAGAATGCAAATATTATGTTGAACACCTGTATTCCCTTTACCCAGATATACATATATTCTCAGGGCACCTGCGTGGCTCAGTTGGTTAAGTGTCTGACACTTGATTTTGGCTCAGATCATGATCTTGTGGTCTTGAGTTTGAGCTCCACATTGGGCTTGGCCCTGACTGTGGAATCTACTTAGGATTCACTCACTTCTGCCCCTCCCCCACTTGTGTGTGCATGCTCTCTCTGTCTCAAATAAACTTTACCAAAAGAGATACACATATATACATATGTGTATACATATATTGCGTTGAGAAGACGTGTATGTATATACATACATACAAAGATGGATAATATATGTGTGCTATATCATATCACATATTATATTACTATTGTGTAATGTATGTATATTATTATACATACAAAAGAGATACACATATATACATATGTATGTACATATACACATACATACATATACACTTATGTATATATATATACACATATATGTATATATACTCTTTCTCCCTATATACATATATATTACATATTTATTATATATATAGAAAGAGACAGAGGCAGACAGAGAATCTGAATCCATTGTTACACACACCATAGCTCTTTACTCCCAAATATTTTAGTGCATATTTCCTAAGCATTAATTTGTACATAAATAATATTAACTTCAGTACATTTCATATTAGTACAACACTTTTATCTAATCTTCATCTGCATTCCAATTGTGTCAACTGACTCAATAATGTAACTTATATAGCATTTCCTTCTCCAGTTCAGGATCCAGTCTAGGGTCAAGTTTGCATTTCAGTGCCATAACCTCTTTAGCTGGCTTTAAGCTGGAACAGTTCCAAAATCCATCTTTATCTTTTAGGTCATTTATACTTTTGAAGGTTATACCCCTTTTTTAAATTAATTATTTTTTTTATTAAAAACAATTTTTTTTAACATTTATTCATTTTTGAGAGACAGGGAGAAACACAGAGCATGAGCAGTGGAGGGGCAGAGAGAGAGACACACACACAGAATCCCAAGCAGGCTCCAGGCTCTGAGCTGTCAGCAGATCCCGACTTGGGGCTTGAACTCACAGACTGTGAGATCATGACCTGAGCCGAAGTCAGAGGCTTAACTGACTGAGCCACCCCGGTGCCCCTAGCCCTTTTTCTAAATTCATAGAATATTCTTTATTTGGGTTTTGTTTTTGTTTCTTCATGTTGGATTTAGGTTATGCATTCTAGACCCAAATGAGACATGAGTGATGTCTATACCTCAGGGCGTCATGTCCAGAGGCACAAGACCTCTTTCCCTCCATGGCTGGTTATGTTAGTTCTGAATACTTGGTCAAGGTTTCTCCTTGACCTCTGTATCCCCCCACCCCAAGCCCCTCTCCATTGCTTATAGCCAATAAGCAATTTGTGGGGAGATAGTATGTCAGGGCCATATAAATATCATGCTATTTATCAAATTCTCTTAGAATTAGCATCTATTAATAGTTTTGATATATCAATTTTTAGCATGGTGGTTACAAAATGTTTTGTTTTGTTTTTTTTCTATTCAAGCACTTCCTCCAAATTAGCCACTTGGCATACTACATTCTATTATAAGCAAGAACCCATATGTCTATTTATGTTATCTCTTATTGGTATGGGCACATGGATTTCTACTTTTTTATGGTCTATAATTCATAATTGTCTTAAAGACATTTTGGTGTTCAAATTGTCAAGTTCAAATCTGGCCAGTGGGGTCCTCTTTAAGTTGGTCCTCTGTCCTTGTAATATGACATATCATTTATTGAGGAACTTTTTGTCTTCCTGGCATAATATATTCCAGGCTCATCTTGGTCCTGCCCCAGTTCTGGAATCAAACATGTCTCTAAATATTTCTCATTCCTTTTAGTGGGGAATGGTATTCAAGACAAAGATCTGGATGTCAGCTCTGTTCACTGCTGCTTAGTTGTCTTGCTGCTAGATCCTTCTGGTGAATGAGAAACAAGAATGTATATATAATTATGCATACACAAATGCATTCACACACACACACACACACACACACACACACACACAC